TTTTCCCGCCATAATTCTCAAGTGCCTGTACGTAAGTCCTGGGCAGCTGAATTTGAAATCTTTTTGTCGTAGTTTCACTTAAGCATAAGCTTCAGTAAATCCTGCCGAAATCATTTACCCTCAGCTTCACCTACGCATAATTTTAAGTAAATTCTGTCAAACTTATTTGCCTTCAGCTTCACCTAAGCATAAACCTCATAAATGCAAAAAACACTTACTGGAGACGGGTTTTTGTCCTCCCATCTATCACCTCCCGCCTCTTCCCCTCCCCCTTCCCCACCCGGCTACGTGATTCAGGCCGCCAGACAATGGGTAGCGCTACCCAGCGCGTCTGGCAAAGTTCCAGCGAGCGACGCCGCGAAATTGTGTTGGCAGAGATGATAGAGCAAAGCGCTGGAAGGCCCAAGCACCATAGTAGGTCACCGGCCGAGCCGAGTTTTTGTAATTGGGGGTAAATGGGGGAGGAGGGATGTGTGGTGCTAGGTGGGTGTTGTGGTTTGATTGTAGTGTTTTCAGGTTGCGCAAACTGTATGCGATGAACGTGATGGCGCGTCGCTGGGCGTTGCTTTGCGCCAGGGCGGTGTGCTCCTCGCCGCGTGCGCTCAAGGGCCACTCCAAGTGGGACAACATCAAGGATACCAAGGTTTCTCAAGCACTACTCATTTGGCTCAGGCCTCTTGCACGAAGGGGTCGATGAATTTGTGAAGTATGTCTCGGTGGGTGTGCACCGACCTCGGTGGAAAACTTCACTTGCTTCCAGAAACTTGATCCATTACGGCACCAGTGAGGCAAAAGTACTAGCCCCCTGCATGGCCGGGAACGGGGCAAGTGGGAAGGAATAGTTCAGGGCGATGCCAGTGCACCTCGGACTGCCCCGCATCATTGCGATGTCACAGCTTTCAATTTTGCGTGAATTCTCACGTTCGTCACTGCGTTTCTATTGTTAGCTTGCAGCAATGGTCAGCAAAACGAAGGCCGCGGAGCAGCTGATGCACAAAATGAAGAGGGCAGTGCGAGCGGGCGGCCCGGACCCGAAATTCAACAAGGACTTGGTGCAGCTACAGCTCGAGTACAGGGCCGCCAACTTCTCGGACGAGGCTTTCCAGCGAGATTTGAAGCATTTGCAGGTAAGTAGTGATGAATGCGCCTTTTTATTGTTGTCAGTTCTCCCTCTCACCGTTCTACTATAGAATCTCGGCAGACTCGGCACAGTGGGGTGGCACTGCTGTGATGCTGTAGGTCGAAGTGGGA